CTGTTTTACCTGAGAGCAGTGAGGAGAGCAGCCCGTGAGCTCAGAGCTGCAGAGTCCAGCCCAGCTTTACCTGAGTGCAGTGAGGAGAGCAGCCCGTGAGCTCAATGCTCTGTTTTACCTGAGAGCAGTGAGGAGAGCAGCCCTTGAGCTCAGAGCTGCAGGGTCCAGCCTGGCTGCCCGCTGTGTGTTCCCCTCCATCTGCTGCAGGCACTGGTGGAATCTGCGCACGTTCTGCATGTGCTCCTCGTGCCGAGGGCTGGCTGTGCCAGGGGGGCTCATCCTGCTGGAAACAGCCTGGCTTTAGCATCAAAATACAGCTGGGAACCTCTGACTGCAAAACCTGCCAAACTAAAATATCCAGTGTCTTGAAATCCATTAAAGAGCCACTGATGGTTGAAACTGGCTCTTTCAAACAGGAATGCCATTTAATTTTCAGATTTGTACCAAAGTCCAGCTAATGGTGTGCCTGGTAGGGAGTTTTCCAAGCCTGCAGGCAGCTCCCAGTTCAGTTGCTCAGATCCCATTGCAGTGGACCACAGTCCCTCAAAACTTCCAAGACACTTTTGGGAAAAGAATCATCTCTGCAGGCTAAATAAATAAACCCTGACCTAAAGCACTCTCCCACTCATTTTAAGTGAGCAGGATTTATGTGAGCAGGAATTACTGCAGGATATCTGACAGTTTTACTCCTGGAATATGCAATACCACAGCATTTCACAGCTGTCATTCACTGGTCATGGACAGAACTTAAGGCAAAATAAAGGGGATTCATCAGGAATACTCTATTCTAACTTACACTTACTAAAATTAAACCAAATACAGACACAGCTCTTATTCTTATCAGGGCCTGGACCAAGTACCTGCCAGTTTTAACAATGGCATAATTTAAATCCCAATTTACCAGGGTGCAAATGAAACAAATAGAAAATATCAAGGAAATATCAGGAAATGTCAGTGACAGGGAAAAGAACACCTGGGTTGTGSCAAAAGGAACCTGTCCCAGGTGCTACCTCCCTCACCTACCTCTCACTGGGAAGGAGAATGTCCACTGATTTTTGAGCCCAAGCACAGTGGACACACTTTGCCAGGATGTGCTATTTTCCCAGYAGAGTCAATTGGCTGTAAGAGGTATTTCTGAGACCTGAACATGATCAAAYAGGTTGTCAGCCTGTGAACTCACCACTCTCGAGCAGGAACGYTGACTTCCTTTGATGAGGAATTCAACACCTGCTTGGACAAGTTTGTAGAATTACCAGGAAATGTTGGAAATCTGACCTTCACCTAGAATAAAAAGGAGCACCGTGTAAGAGTCTTTCACAGCAAGAAAACAAGAGAAATTAAAGTATTATCCTGCTGATCTAACAAAAACTCAGGCTTTCTAAATAGCTCTAAATTTGCAMATTATTTCCCAGCACTGAGCTACAGTACCATTTCACAACACTTTCATTTCAGACACTTCTGTTAATTCCCTCCACACTATCAGAGAGTAAACTGATGGACAGTAGGATAAGGGCTCCATTACATGTGTATAATACGCCCCAGCATATCTGGGAAGTCTACAGAATAATGAAAAACTCAGAAGAGATGGCAAATATTCCAGAAAAACAGATTCCTGCCAAACTAGATGTTTTCTAATCAACGAAAAGCTGAATCTACTCTATGTTTTGGAGCATCAGCTGCCACCCAAAGCAGCAAACAGAACAGCACCATATTCCCAAACATCCAAATCCACAGAATGTAACCCKAAAAAAAAAAAAAATCAACAACRGAGTGAAGCCAGTGTWATGCTCAYGACTTGGTTTGAATGCTGTAACTACACCATGGAGACCTGGAGCAAATTCCCAAGGAATTGTTGATGCAGACTGGTCCATGACAGCGCTGCACATTTGCTGTGAATTCAATCTGCTGTGAATTTCTCAGGACCCTGCAGCKCTGATTTTGAGGAACCCAGGCAAAGGTGAGAGGGCAGAATATGGAACGTACAGAAGAGCTTTCTGGCTGGCTCCGGGCCCTGGCCTGCTTCTCCTCTTTGAGGTTGCTGATGTTCTGCAGAGGGGACACGGCCACTTTGATCTGCCCCCGGCAGCACCCGCTGAAATCGGTGATGTTGTACCAGCCACACACCAGCTGGAAACCAGAGAGGAGAGGRGAAAGGTCCACGGAGGCAAATCCTATCACTCGCTCCGACTCTGGGGAAGGAGGACAGGGAGCACAGATTCATTGACAGGAATCATTTCAGGAATGCCAAAACACAGCCTCAAAATACGCTTTGGAAATGGAGCTGAGCTCCAGACCAATCCTATTGAACAGGGGGTTATTACCTGCATTACCTCAGTTACATTCAGCTAAAAATGCCCCYACAGCAGCAGTGAAAGCCCAGGGCAGGGAGAGGCATTGGAGGAGAATCCCTGTGTACACAGTACTGTGGGTACACAGGAGTTCATTTCTGGAACAAAAATCAGACTGCTGAACTTCAATATGTAAGAAGAAAGAAATAAAAGTATCTGGTTACAGCTGGCTGGGCACACTTCAACCCACWGCAGCAACAAMAAACAGCACACGAAGGAAGCACCTAAGAATTGCCTTCAGCAGGAAAATCCAACCTCTAAAGCACCATCAAGGAAAAACCAGAAAGAACACAAATGAACCAACCCTTGTAAGATGGTTAATGGGGAAAAGGAGGATGCCAGGAAATCTATAGGTATTTATCTCCAGCATTCYTCTAGTACAAGGCAAGAAATATCATTACAATTCTACTCTCCAATTTACTTAACAGAATTTATTTTCCTTGCATGAAACACAAGTAACTAAGGAAGGAGATGCAGAAAACACACTCCTCTTAATACTGCACAACGAACTTTACCTGCTTTATGCCACACTTTGAAGACCAACGTTTGCTGTGGATCCAGAAGRAGCTCTTTGGATAATCTGTAAAGAACAAAAACCATAATATTTTTGGCAAAGCAGGAAAAAGCAGTAAAATGCTTCTGAAGTTTCAACACCATTTTATCTGCTAAAACAAATCAGTTTTTTTTTCTGGACTGATGGGGACAGGAACAAAACAAACCCCAAAATGRCTGAGCCTCAAAGCATAACTATCTTTACATAGTTTGGGTTTGCTTATTCAGGAAKTATTTCCCTCTCCTCACTCTTGCTGTACATTGAAAAGACAGGACAAAGAAACTGTGAAGGAAACAATTTATTTCATGACTCAATAGCACAGTGAGAGCAAAGCACTGGGRTTATGGTTGAAAGCTGTAATGTCTGAATTTCATTCCTGGAAATAAAAAAAAAAAACCCAAACGGAAAATCAAAGTTTTAAATGTAGAACATGCAGGTTTTAAGTTGTTTGAAGTGATTCAGGTTTTAGGAACGCTGGAGGAGACACAAGATTGGAACACACAGGTTAATTCCTGAATACTGCCATATATGACTTGATCTGCTGAGGTTCCTTGATGCAGCCAATTAATCTGTTTTAATTTAAGCTCAGATATCTAAGCCTGAGCTAAAAGCTCCCAAACCATCTGGCCTGGCTGTGGGATGCAGCATCCCCAGCTCTCACCTTGCCTGGTGCTGGAAGTCCCAGACTGGTGAGTCTGTGTTTTCCACCACTGGAGTGGTTACTGCAGCTTCTGCAYCAGCAACAGCAAATGTCACACAGCTGCTGGGGGCTGTCACTTCACGYTCTGTCAAGGGACTTCCTGAAATGACACAGAATTAAATACAGACTTYTTAATTAATAATAACAACAGCAAATCAAAAGCAGGTCAGCAATTAAARTCACACCACTAGCAAAAAAATCCACCATGTAGAAAATATTCCTTCTCACTGGTGGAGGTGATAGCATGTTATATTTACAATGGATGCAAATATTAGATGAACCTTTTACAGAGCAGAAACTGGAATATTCAAAGGAGAAACASAAAAACCATTTGCCCAAGATCACCTAAGAAGTCAGAAACAAAGCTAGGAATAAAACCCAGGCCCTCAAGACCCTATTCCAGTGCTTGAGCTACTCTCTGTGCTGGGCCACTGTTTGGAAATCAAGAATGAAATTTCTTCTTGAAAGCAGCTTGTATTTGTTTCAGTGGATCAGCTGCCCCGCAATTAGTTACTTCTAAAAATCCCCTAAAATAAGAAGTTGAAGRCAGAAATATTTCAATGTTTCTGCAATACTCAAAAGAAACCTCCTTTATATCACCAAGAACTTTGCAACAGAAAACAAAGTCACATCAGTTTTCCAAAGACTATGAATTCCAGAAKATTCTAGAATAATTATAAAAACCCATCTGCAGGCCTCAGAATCTTTTAGAATTACATACCTTTAAATCACAGCTTGTGTTTGACTCTGAGTTGTGCTATCTGGGGAACCAAAGCTGAGTACAAATTGATTAGGTGCTAAAAATGCYAATTTGCAGGAGTCTGAGACAGGAACCTCTTGGGTTTAATTACACTGTCAATGCTTAATTTGGGGCTCAGCTATTCAGACAATGCTTAATTTCAGAATTCAGCTGTCATTTCTAACAGGTAACCTTACGATATCTGTATTTTGGGTTTTATTCATGGAGACAGGCTGAACAGTTCAACCTCTGCTTTCTCTTACTCACACAGCAATTGGGGTTGCAACACCAGAGACAAGTTCAAAACCCATCCCTGCCATTCCCTTTGCTGGAGTATGGACAGATCCCAGAGCAAGACAAAGAAACAGAAAAAAGAGAAAGAAAGAAGAAAGATGAGAAACAAAGAAAAGAAAGTGGGGCGGTGGTGGTGTTACCTTTTAGACTCAGATGCATCGCTCTTTCCACGAGGATGTTGACAGCAACTGTGTTTCCCAGAAACAYCACATCTTCTTCCTTGGTGCCATTGGTGAGCTCTGAATTTACAGCATCCACTGGCTGTTTGTCAGGGATCTGCTGCCTCAGATCAGGGGGTTCCTCTGTGCCTTCATCTTCACTGCTGCTGCATTCCTCAGCACAGGGGGCTCTGGGCACAGCAGCAGCAGTGGGAGCCAGGCAAACATGAACACGAACAGCAGCTCCTGCCAGGTCTGCAGCATTGCATCTGAACAGTGGATAAACACCTGCAGGAGAATTCAAACCACCCAGATAAATCGGCCAAAGGAAAAGCAGCACCTTGGAAAACAGCTGGCACAGTTCATTACTCTAGAGATCTCACGTGAGCCCAGCAGAAAGAATTTCCATTTTCAATGTCATTTCYATGTGAGTTATCACCCAGAAGTATAAGCGTGATAACATTAAAACCCACAACCAATCCCCCAAACTGGGTACACCTTCATTTTCCACCAGTAGCTCAGGTTAAAGCACATCAACTTGCTGAGAGCACTGGGAACAGTGGCTCTGCATAATTTCATATACATTTATGGAGRACACAGCATATAGCCCTCATAAAACACTTGGTTTAACTGTTATTCTTTCTCCCTTCCCTGAGTGTTTCTAACAGAAGAGCCAACCTGTCTGCAAATCTGCTGGCTGATGAGTACCATGCAGATGACAGAAGCCATAAACTAAAACACAAATTCCACCTCAGTGTGAGGAAGAACTTCTGCCCTGGAACAACTGCCCAGGGAGGGTGTGCAGTGTCCCTCTGGAATCATCCCAAACCAGTGTGGACATGTGTCACATTGTTCCTGTGTCACA